ATTCTTCTCCACCTCCTCATCCTCCTCATCTTCGTCCTCCTCCTACAGCTCCTCCTCCTCCTCCCTCCTCCTCCCTCCTCCTCCCTCCTCCCTCCACCTCCTCCTCCTCCTCCCCCTACTCTTACCAAAATTCGTTCAAAACCAATCCCAAGGGTCCATCCTTACCAGTGCGCATCCAAGCTCGATTTGTGATTGTCCTGGGGCCATGGAAGCCGAAATCCACAGGAACTGTTCGCGGCGCATTTCGCTCAACCATCATCTCCCTTCCTTGTCCTACTCGTTATTCCCCCCGGCCAGCCTTGAAGTCTTCCAGCAGGGTCTCGAGGATGCCGAAAATCTGCGAGCTCTGGGGCGTGTAGCTGCTGTACCCGGGGATGGCCAAGAACGCCATGGTAGCCTGCGGTACCGTTCGGGACCAGGAGGGCAGGAGGAGAAAAAGGAAGAGGATGAAGGAGGAGGAGGAGGAGGACGAGGAGGGAGGACCAGCCGCTCCTGAATGTCCGAGAACTCTCCCAGGGGATGCCCAAAGGCAGGGGGCCTGCGTTGCAGGCCATAGAGGGTGCCGTCTGCGTACGCCCCGAGGGCCGGCGAATGGATGCCCCCAGGCTTAATCTCGAGGGGGATGCATCCAGCACCTCGGGCCTGGTATCCCGCGACTCTTCCGAGCGTCTGCGGGGCTCCGACTGCAAGAAGCCGAAAATCAGCTCGATCACTAACTCTGCCTGCTGCAACGCGCCTGAACCCACGGCCCCTCGCCCCAGATCGCGGGGAGCATACCAGCAACGATTGGCCTGCACCAAATCTTGCTGGACGGGATGCCTATCTGCTGCCCCTACCGAACGCTGCAAAAAAACATACACGGAGCAAGGCAGAGCACAGACAACCGACAATAAGTTCTGACTACAGCACGCTGCACACCACTTGTACAAGACTATGCCTGGAACCTGCTGCCTCATTCGACATAGCGTGCGGGACAACTGAGCCGTACCATACAGTGAGTTTGCGACCAGCCTGTGCCTTGCTCTCACCCTCCTGCAGCATGCCTTTGAAGTGCTCGGCCGAGCGATCGGCCTTGACTGTCGCCTTGCAGTCGGCCTCCAGCGTGCTCAGAACCTGCTCCGCCAGCTTTGCGCTCGGCCTCTGCCGTGCACACTGCCTCCTGCAGCATGCCTTCAAGGCGGCTGAGCTTGCACTCAACGTCAGCTCTGAGCTTGCACTCAGCCTCAGCTTTCGCCGCGCGCTCGGCTTCCACCATGCAAGCGTTTCTTTCTTCTGGGTTGCGACATTTGGCCCAAGGGTGGGGGAGGGGGGGCCCTGGGGCTGCGTCGATGGTTGCTTCTGCCAGTCGCGCAAGCAGGCTAGGAGACTGGAAGGGGGGGTCCTGACCAGTCGCCAACAGCAACCGCCAAAGCAGCCCCCAGATCCGGTCTCTGGGGGGGCGGTGGGGAGGGGGGGCCTGGGGCCCGCGTCGATCGACGAAACGCCTACTTCGCCAGACGGCGCTTGGTCTTTGCCGCGCACTGCCTATTGCAGCATGCCCTCTAGGTGGCTCAGCGCAAGGTTGGTCTCCGCCCGGCGATCGGCCCCGACTGGGCACATGTTCACGGCCTCCTCTTGGACTTGCTCTCGGTCTTCATGAGGCCGATCACTGCGGCGTACTTCATGCTGTCCGTGAGCTCGTCCTCGACCCCGCAAGTCGTCGAACCCTCGTTGGCCAAGGGCTCGCTCACTGGCGCACGGAAGGTAACCTTCGAGGACTCGCCAAGGAAGCCCGCTGTCATGGACGAGCCGTCAGGCTGCGGCAAGAGCGCCACTTGAAGAAGCCGTCCGCAAGCTCCTTGAAGCCGCACCGCACAAAAGCCCAGCCGAACGTCTTCTCAGGAGGCTGCACTCGGCGGCGAGCGAAGGGGGAAGTGAGAAGGAGAAGGCCTTCTCAGAAGGCGGCAGGACTTCTGAGAAGGCCTTCGGTTTCTCCCCCCAACTCGCCGCCGATGTGCAACTGACCTGAAGCACATTACGTGCCTCTCGAAGCAGCCCCTCGGAGTCCCGCCGCAGGCCAAGCACGCCCTCAATATCCTCCACCAGCTCCTTCGTGATCTGGGCCGCCGTCCACCCACGTCGCCAACTGCGCCACGGGACTGCCACGGCGCAGCGTGGTGCTTCCGCGCTGTAAGGACACCGCGCGCCACAACGCCTGCGCGTCTGCGCAGGCCGGGAGGGGGTTCGAGTAGGGAATCGACTACAACATCGATTTGACCCAAACTTGCTGCTGTTCGTCGGATATGTAAAGAAGTACGCAGAAGGGTCGCAGATCTACGAACCTTCTACGCACTTGTTTGCAAAATCGACGAACAAATCACTTTTGGGGTAAACGCATTATGTAGTCGATCCCCTACTCGAGGGGATGGATGGGTGGGGGGAGGCTCGGGGTGGGGAGGAATGGGAAAGGGGGGGTGTGGGGGGGAGGGGGGGGGAGGGGGGGCAATCCGTGGGTTGGCGCGCGACCAGCTCGCGAGAGCCAAAGACCGCTGGAGCCCACATCTGCCCTGGGGAATGAGGAGGAGGTGGAGGAGAACGAGGACCAGGACGAAGACTACGGGCGAAGGCGACGACGACGACGACGACGACGAGGCCAGAGAGACGGAAGAAAAGAGGAGGCAGAGAGGCAGGGATGGAGGAAGCGAGGCAAGGAGGGAAGCAGAGAGAGGGGGAGAGAGGAGGGCAAAGACGAGGGGCCGTAGGACGCATGACGGAACGTCGCCACTAGGCACGTCATCCCGACCCCCGCTTCTCGGTCGAGCTGGACGCGAAGTCGGGCGGCACGATGGCCGTCGCTACCCTCACCCGTTGGGCGGCAGTCGCACGGAGGTCGAAGGCTGGAGGTCGGAGAACGGGCGTCGACAGCGCGCGGCGGGCGCTGGGAGATGGAAGTTGGGCGGAAGAGGTCGGACGGTTGACGCTGGAAGTCGGCGGGCGGAGGTCAAGGGCTGGAGGCGGAAGAAAGGTCGTCGATAGCTGATGGCGGGCACTAGGGGTCGGAAGTTGGACGGAAAAGGTCACATGGCTGACGCTGGAGGTCGGCACGCGGAGGTCGAGGGCTCGAGATGGAAAGTTGGAGGTCGCGGGCGAGGTCGAGGGCTGGAGGTGGGAGGCGCGAGAGAGAAGCCGGAGTCGCAAGGGAGATGCCGTGCGTCACGAATTCGTCCACAAACTGCGGCGATGCGCCCGCGTCAACTCGCGCTGCAACGCGCCGCGCTCCGCACCGGCGTCGCAGGATGCATGACGGAACGTCACCAGACACAGCACGGCAGGCTCGTCGCCCTCCCCCCGCTCCTCGGTCGAGCTGGACGTGAGGTCGGACAGCGCGATGGCTCTCGCTACCCGCATCCGTTGGGCGGCAGTCGGAATCCACGATCTGGAAGCCAGGGATGGCGAGGCGGAAGCTGGGGTAGGACCGTCGACCTTCATGCGGAACTTGCGGCGAATCGTAGAGGTTGGAATCTGGAAGTTGAAAGCTGGCGACGTAGAAGTCGGAGCCTGGGACGCCAGAGTCGCATGGGTCGGAGCCGGAGACGCCTGCAGCGGAGGTGGGAGGTTGAAAAAGGGCCACTGTCGGGGGTGAAACATGTTCAGCTCGAAATAGACGTTGGTCCAGATGCGGCCGCCCTGGCTGAGGCACCTGCGCTCCGCTGCCTGTCGACGCGAGAGGCTGGGAGGAGCCTGGAGAACAAAACGGCGTTCATCTGTGGATTGCGTTGCGAGCGTCGGCGCCACCGCTTTGATCAGAAAACTCGCAGCTCTACAGATCACTGCTCGCGTCGCGGCCTGGGTCCGGATTGATTGTCACGGAAAAAAAGGTTCGCCCACCTTCTCCTCCACAGACTTGCCCACTGCTGTCGTTTCCCCATGGCCATGTGCACCGTTCCACGCCACCTTCTTCCCGCTCACAGTCACCATCCGTTTGCCCCATAAGATCTGCACGGCGTCCTCATCGCGCTCCCACTCCCAGCACAACTGTTTTTCGTGTAGCAAAACCGTTTGTCTGCAACCTGCTTTTCCGTGGTTTGGTTGCTCTTCAAAAACTAACCATCCAACCACTTGTCGTCGCTCATCCCCCGAAACTTCTGGAATAATTCCACTTTAGCTGATGTTGTCGGGAATGTAACCAGCGTCATGTTCGTAGGGCTCCTACGCGTCTCCACGTTGAGGTCGGCGATGTCATCCAAGATCTTGGATAAGATGCCCTTCACTTACCCCACCGTTTCGTCGGAACCAAATGGGTCCTTGAAGCCCGAAGCAACCACCTGCTTGTTCCTGTCATCGGTGTTGGTGCGATCACGGTTGTTGCATGAATTCATGTTGATTGTGTCCTGGGTTTCTTTGATGTCGTTCTTCTGGATCTCGTTCGAGGCTTCAACCTGCTTGACCGTTTGCTTCACCCTTCGTGACAGTTTCCACATGCTTGTCTGCGTTAGCGTGTGCGCTGTGTGCCACGTATTTCGCCTGGGCGGCATCTTTGGTCAGCTCCGAGCATGCCGTAGATCTTGTCGATATTCTCGTTGTTCGTCATGTTGTCCTTGTTCGCTTCTGTCTTCAATTCTCTCATCTCAGGTGATCCCCCGGCAGAACCTTCGGCCTTGCAGACCCCGTCTTTTGCCATCATAGGCCGACTCGAGTGAGTCAGCAATGAAGTAGACAGGTTCGGTACTGGAAGTCCTGGGGGAGAGTGGAGGTGCAAAACAGCTGCTTCTTCCTGATGTGGGACAAGTGTGCTGCTATTGGGCCTGGGCCCTGGACGCCAATTACATCATGTATGGCGCGCGGTAACGTGAAACACCTGCAGAAATTACTCTGAGTTCCCAATCTGGCTGGCCTGCACTCCGCCGTTGAATTCTGCCTGGTAGAGGCCACTGTCGCTGTCTCCGTGGTTTTCCAAGACTGTCAACTTGATGTACCGCCCTGAGAATTGAAGATTGAATGTGAGCAACTGGTCGGGGACAGTATACACCCTGCGAAATGCTTAAGAAATCATGGGTTAAGAAATTCATAGTCTCAGAATTTGAATAAAAACCCAGAATTTCTACCAAAAACTTGGGATTTACACTGAAACGTTAAGAATAATCAAGACTCTGGCCGAAAACTTAGGTTTTCTTAAGCATCGCCTAAGGTGTATAGCCATGCTTCTGGGTCGTGCCAAGGCTTCCCGACCCTGTGCTCGGGAGGTCGGTCAACTGCGCCTCAGCAAGCCCACGGGGACCGCTGAGCGACGCCGCTGTTGACAGCGAGAAAGCCTTGATTGAAGGGGCCCCAGGACACACAAATAAATACACACAAATAAAAGTATCCCCCATATTTTCCTATATTTTCTGGGTTTTTGTCTTCCCCCCCACTTCCCATATTTTTGCATATTTTCCTGGGAGTCGGCGATTAATTGTGTCTGTGTGTTTCTTTCCCTCCTGATTGATGCAATAGCTGTCCTGGTAGTTGACGAAGTGCATTGAAGACACCCCACAAGATGTTCCCAAGTCAAAGACGACCCACAGATTGGTACAACTGCCGACGCTGCAGTCGCCATCGGCACACCACCTGTGGGTTGGTCGCTGAGTAGTGGGCAACTTGAGTACGAACGGGTTGTAGGCATGGTCATTGCTGCAAGTCGCACGGGTTAGACCCCCACACCCGCGAGAGAACCAAGCCGAACTATCGGAACTATCAGCTGGGCACCCCGACGTCGCCGCGATCGACGTGATTAGAGGCCTCCTGGATGGGGTCGGTACAAATGCGGTCGGAGGATCGAGCCGCATCGCCGATACATCGGCGATGCATCGGCGATGCATCGGCGACGCATGGGCGATGCACTGTCGATGCATCGTCGACGTGGGCGATGCATCGGCGACGTCGACGTGAAGCCAATCGGGCTCCACATCGAGCCGCATGGGCGATGCATCGGCGATGCGGCGCGATCCTCCGACCCCATCTACTCCGACCTCATCTAGGAGGCCTAGAGTGATACTGCAGGTCCGTGCCGTGTTGACCCTGGCGTTGGTTCCTGACACCGCGCTGGATCGTTCAACCTTGAACGATCGGCCGTCTCCGCAACGTTCGATCGTTCAACATCGACCGATTCTGGGCCGCCGTCGGCGTTCAACGTTGAACGTCGGCGGCCGGTCGACACGACGCGAACCTACCGTAGCCGATGTGGGTGCTGCGATCAGGTCGGCCGTGTCCCCCCACAGGCGGCTGTTGGACGAAAAGTGGATGAAGAATACCCCGAAAATGCCCACGAATGGTCCAAGCACGGTCGACAGATGGTCCCCCGTACCCTCTGACTCTTCTTGGAGATTCCCCCCTGCAGAGGGACAGGCCCGACTTCACGCTGAGATCCGTGCCGACGCCGGCGCGGGCGTCTTGGGCGCCCGAGTTATCCGGGGTAACTCGGGTCTGGGGTAACTCGGGTTTGGATTCCCGAAAAAGGAACCCGAGTTAGCCCTGACCCGAGTTACCCCTCATGATTCGGGGCTCTGGACGCCCGAGTTATCCGGGGTACCTCGGGTCCGGGGTAACTCGGGCTCGGATTCCCGAAAAACGAACCCGAGTTATCCCTGACCCGAGTTACCCCTGATGATTCGGGGCTCTGATCGGTGCTGGCGCCGGCGAAGCCGACGGTGCGGGCGTCGCCGGCGTCGGCGCTGGCGAAGGCACCGGGCGTCGGCGCCCAGGGGCGGCACGGGGAGCCCGACGGCCCGGGCGCGGGAGGCGCCCGGAGCTGCAGCGGCGGCGGCTCCACGCCCCGTGCGTCCGCAGGAAGCTTCCTCGTGGTCTCTGCTGCCTCTCTGCCCTCGAGGGGCGAAAGAACGGCCCCGCCCTGGGTTGCAGGCGCGTGGTCCGTAAAGCTCCTGGGCACCCCCAGGGCCTGGAGCCGCCAGGAAGCGGCACATCACGCAGGTCTTGCCCTGTCAGCCCACAGGAGTTTCAGCGCACAGCGCCTCGTAAACCAGGGTACACCCTGCGAAATGCTTAAGAAATCATGGGTTAAGAGATTCATAGTCTCAGAACTTGAATAAAAACCCAACATTTCTTTTTAAATCTTAAGATTTACATTGAAACGTTAAGAATAATCGAGACTCTGGCCGAAAACTTACGTTTTCTTAAGCATCGCCTAAGGGGTAGGGGCGTTTTTTATGCCCTTGATTCTCCTCCCTCTCGCGAGCAATTCGGGCTCCGGCTGGCCAGCTGCAGCTCGGGCCGGCGCGCGGCACTCCCGCGTGCGGTCCCGATCAAGGAGTGTCCGCAGACCGCGTGCAGCAGGTCGTGCGGCAAATGCCCGCGTTGGTGGTGCCGTGCAGCGCTCCGACCGAGGCGGTGCACGCCGTCTCACCAGGCTCCACCGGCGCGCAGCATCCGCAGTGGCACTCGGGAGGGGTGGCCTTGTCGGTAGGGTTCGTGGCGCCTAGCGCGGACAGGCTCAGGGAGGGGGCCGAAGTCTGCATTGTCTCGAAA